GGTATTTATAAAGGATAAAAAGGATAAAGCATTTGCCGTTGATCAATCCCTTTTTGGGATGCGGCACGCATTCTACTTCCATTTGTACATTCGTAGTGGCGTTTGAATGCGATGTGGCCTATACAATGACTTGCGGGGGCCAGCCGATGTACAAGTCAGTGTTTTTATCCTCCCAGACAAGTCTGGTACCAATTAACCGACCCCGGAGGGATGGAAGGCTTGGTTGGCCCGGGCGACTCACGACCCAGGATTTGATCCCCGGACCGCTCGCGTGGTAAGCGTGCCACTTGCCACTACACCACTTCCGCCCAATAAATGGTAATTAAATGCCAAATTATATTTCAGAAACACTCATTCAATTGGAGATGGTGTGGTGACAGGAGGGGCCGCTACCGCGCGCATGGTCTCTGGATCAAATCCCAGGTCAAACCCAGCGTGCGTCAGCCAAATTTCTACAGATGATTAGTTGTTGCTAGGAGCGATAGTTACTACACAAAACACATCGATAACTTGTTTTAAAAAGTCGTAGTCTAAGGGTTATCAAGGCTGAAATTGCAACTCTACTCCGAGAGTTCCTACTGTTTCTCAGAATTCCTACTGATCTTCGCTTCTTGAAAGAAGAAAATGTCTCATTCCCAACCCTTTTAACTAACAATGAACATAAATTTGAACCCAATCAAATTCCAAAGGGAAAGCGTCTAGACTGGTTGACAGTTTTCCACCATCATATGCGGCAGAGAAATGGAACGCTCCCGCATGCAGTGGTGGAAAACTGGCAGTGGTTTGGGCCGTGGTGAACCCTCAGTGATGGGATCAACCGAAGCACTAGACTTCCAGAGATGCTTATCATCAGGAATTATTTATGGGGTTCCGCGAACATGTACACGGAGTTTGAGCATATGCACGCGCCCAGCAACTCGTCATGATGTCACGCACTCAAGTTTCCATCACTCGATTTCAGTACTTTCATACTTGCACTTCCACCTTCGTCATCGCAGTTTCGTACTTTTTGCTTAATCACTGCTTCACACGCAACCTTTCGTATGTCTTCTCCACCTCTAATATTTAACCTACTTGGGACCAAAAAGAACAATTAGCCCTCAAAAAGTTCCTCTGAGCAGCGAGAGTTGACAGGCTGGAGATCAGTGAATGTTTCATTTCCAAGTCCCTTCTAGAGCCTCAACCGACAAAGAAAAAAATTGGAGTTCAGAGCATCTTCCATAGATCGAATTTGTGGGGTCACAGCGGTCGACAATAGTTGTGGATGCCGAGTTGACTAAAAATGAAAAAGAAGCAAAGAAAACCGTCGATGAAGCCCTAAACAAGGATTCCCCTTGAAATAAGGAAGGGGCGGGGCCAGACGAGTTGTACGAACTTGCCTGCTCCACGGCTCAACTAACCCGCGCGTATTTGAATTAGCCGCTACGCCGTAATCCACGTTGCGTGTCATGGGGTGCGCACGTAACTCGTCCAAATGCTAAGATTAGTCGCCAAAAGCTGACTTTGTAAGACCCTAGCGCCATTGTCGCGCACTTTCGAGCCGCGACAACGGCACATCTGTGCTACTCGTGGGCTACTCTATCCCACCCATCAATGGATTCTTCCACACGACTTCTGTTGGGGGTGTTGCTTTAAACTTAGCCAGTGGGCGAAACTGGCCCTATTTTAAAACCTCTAAAGTAATCGAAATGGGAACAAACCACACCTTCATCTCCACATGTGTCAATTTCATCAGCATACACCTCACCGTAAAGCATGAAATACGGCTTATAAAAAACATTGCGAACCTGAAAAACCCTTTGAATATTCAGAAAATCGAGAACACCTACGGTTCAATGAAAGTCTACTTACCAGTAACCAATGCCAGTCTTCATTAGGATATGTTATCGACTGTCGTGCAAGTCCAAATGCCAATAACGATACTACCAACATGACTATTATATACGACATATTCAATATCTGCAAGTAAGAGATTTTTTCTTTGACCCATCAGAAACGAGATTTCTACTTCCCGTAATAACGAGCTGTAAAAAAGAAATTAGACATTAGAGCTATAAATTATAGTAAAATCAGGCGCCATAGGCAGTGATTACAATGGCTGAAAGGCGGTGCGGTTTTGATGACGTCACTGGACGTCAATGGTGGTAGTCCCAACCACAGTCTCTTAGCACATTCCCACCAATAATGATATTCACGACGTCACCAAAATCTCAAAGCCCTCCAGCCATCGTAACCACTGTCTTTAAGATATCATCATTACTCTGGTAGTGCAGACTTCAAAATAGGTAATGAGAGAAAAACGAAAGATGTAAACTAAGATTTTGAATTCCATAAAGTAATCGGAAAAAGAGAATTCTGCAAAAGTTTTTCCAAGTACTATAGTAGTATTCACAGACGAATTGTTAGGCTATGTCAATAGTTGATGCCGTAAAGCCAACAAACATTCTCCTTATAGTGTATCTGGATGAGGAAATCTGCCCAAAAATGTTCTTCTCATTAGGATACATTGAAGCTTCTGGGACCCGACAGGAGGCCCGTCGCGCGGCGAGAAGGCAGAGACGCAGGGTCAGCGGACGAGTCGCAGCGCGTGCTGTGCGATGTGGGACGTACATGGTACATTCTATTTAACTTGACGCGAAATCGCTACAGTACGCGCTGCGACTCGTCCGCTGACCGTCTGCGTCAGTGTTTTTCGCCGCGAGGCGGGCTTCCTGTCGGCTACCCGAAGCTTCTTATTCTTTGGTCCACTTGAAAGTGTAAGCGAGAAAGTGGTGCAGAGGTTCTTGCGGTGAAGGAAGCTTTCCAAAGCATTTCTCCAGATCCGAAACTTGAAAAGCAGCTCTAGCTTGATATTTTCTTCAAAAAACAGAATCATGGTGCATGCTATAAAATGTGAAACTCTATCAAAAAATACATACTAACCATTTTTCCTGCCATTGTAATGTATGGTCCAAGCCGTGGATGTACACTCATATAGTCGAGCAATTTCATTGTCCAAAGCACTGAATTACAAGCGAGGATTACTCGCCCCGTTTCTATCACACTAAAATACAAACAGGTTATGTTAATTGGACAAAGTTGAAGGAAGGCATTGAGCTTAGGAGCACAAAACAAACCCAAAAGTTCGCATAGCAAAACCAATAATGAACGATATGACGGCTGCTGTGGTGACGGTGTTCCAGTAATTAAAGAAGAAATACTTGAGTTTTTGACCCAGCGGTTGCATCTCCGACATAAGGAACTGCAAAAATAGGAATCTATTGAGTTCGTTAGCTTGACTAGCTGCACTGTTCCCCAGTCCACAGATGATTCAGTAACACATTTTACCCTAGAAAAGTGGGTCCAAAGGGCCAAAAGGCGCCAGAACACCTCGGAACACCAAATTTGCTGAAAACTTGTGTCAGGGGTAGTTTGACCCGTAGAACATGAATATCACATTAGTTCGTTGCGAGTGAGCCTGTAGCCTGCGCTACGGGCGCCCGCGCAAAACTGTTGTGATAGCGCCGGCGCCTGTGGCGCGGGCGCCAAGCGTTGTCGCGCTAAACCGATGTGATATTCGTGTTCTACGGGTCGAAATACCCCTGGAGACAACTTTCTAGCCAAATCCTTGATCATGACGAATTTCGATTCAAAATCCGGCTCAGGTTTTGACGAGTGAGTGGGGTAGCAAAGGGTTTATAAGGAGCGTGGAGAACGGGTTATACGTTACCAAAGACAGTAAGTATACCAAACAAAAGGGTAACTGATTCAAACAGACCTTACTACATCCATTACTTGCAGAACAATCGATGAGACATTGTCGCTAAACCTTTTGCGACCGTTTGGAACTTTAAGAAAAGCGGGACATAATCTGCATAGCAGAAAACTCTCTGATCCACTTAGGTTCAAAAGAAGGGAATCACTCATTTGTGACAACTCAGCCTTAAGATGATCATACTCCAGATTAAGTGTAATGTTATCCTTGTAGACGAAAGTGAGCGCATCCGATGCTGGCGGCTCTACCTTTCGATGACCACAAGATATTTCCGGTACTCATCATCCAATCAACTTACTATCGCTTATCAGCAATGACTCAATGAAGCCTAATCATAGTAGCCCCCACATCGCTGGAGTTTGGTCGATGGCCATTACATGCATAAAACATCATTCCCCAAGATCATCGAAGCGGTAGAATTTGCTAGGAGCTAAACGAATATAGATGGAGAGCAGTTTTTCCTAAAATGGAATTACCAGGTGGGCTTAATATAGATTGCAAGAAAAAAGATAACTGACTTTTAAAAGATGCAGTACGTAACTAGTGGAGCACGGCTTTACGTATCATCAGTTCTCATACTTTACTGATTACTTGAGGTTTCTGGTCATTCCCTGCAGTGAATTGTCGGATCTACCGTAAACGAAGTATGATATGTCGACTCCTAGCAGGGCAACCGTCCGTTCGACTAGCTCGTAATTTAGGAGTCGCACCTCTGATTCCGAAGGGCGCAGCGCACTTTGAGTTTTGGCGAGATTATTTTTAGAGTAAGTGTGAACGATGTCGCAAAAGAGGGCTGCCAATTTTAGCACTGGTTTTTTTTGTACAGAATTCGCCTGCTCTTGGACGGAAAGAAGTGGCGGAATTGGCTTGCTCGAGTTTCAACATCAACACTTACAACTACCATTATAGAGAGCGAGGTGACCGGCGGAGGTCGAACGGCGTGCGCTGTGATTCAGCAAAGTTACCACTAAATTGCAACAGATAAATGTGCTTACCAATTCACGGAACAAACCTTTCTAAATGCTCCATTCAATGCGATCACGTACGCGAGTAGAAGCCACTCCAACCATGATGGCTTTGGTGGAGTCCGGATCAGAAGCACATAAGTGAATGCGGCGAGGAACAAACAGAACGAAAGAGTCCATGCCCAGAAAGTCGTGATGGGAGCCGTGTAAAATTCATAAAGTCGACGACGAATTTTAATTGGGCGCTGGAAACAGGACATTTTGAGCACTTTGGCATCGTATGAGTAGAAAGTAAATTTCAAACATTACCATTCGAGGAAGATTGGCGCCGACAGTCAGTAGGAAATTTGGTCGAGTGTTAAACGGATCATCGCTTTCCTTAGTGACTGCTATCGCTCCATGAGACAACACACCTTAACCAGAACGTGACTTATAATTTGCTCTTTTGCTTTGGGTGAAATCTGGGCCCCAGAGGAAAAAAGCCAGTCCTGTTGACCCTTCTTATGGGCGACACGCACTCCACTTCTTCCAATACTTCCACGAATACAAGAGGAGCTCACAATTCTCCGGAACTGTGAGCAAGTGCTCATTTTAAGGCAGGAGGTACGATATTTGGCTGCCGTCGGATATGAAAGTAGAAGTGGCAAATGATGCAGTGCAAAAGGAAAGAGCTGAAAAAGGAAGAATGCCTTGGCCCATCAGATGACTAACCAAAAATCCCTTTTTGCGCGTTGATTTCCGCGCTACACGAGATTCTACGAGAGCTGCGTCACTAACTGAAGGCCTTGCTTTTCCTCACCGCGCTATCTGGTCCTAGCCGGCATCCCGCATAACCAACCAGGCATAAACTGAGCCCTCTACCTGGAGACTGAGCTCTCTACGAAGGCGGCGGTCACAACGAGTGGGGCCTTGTTACGCCGTTGCCGTCGCATCCTTCGCCGCGGAGGCTCTACATTTCTCTCCCCCCTCTCCCACTCCCCCCAGAGACCGAGCTTTCCTTTGCTGCAGACGAATTTCCTCTTCCTCTACATCCAATTTGTCGTATCCCCTGCCTTGAAGTCGTCATCACTCAAATGTGAATCTGTCAATTAACTTGTGAGCCCGAAAAGTGGAAAACTTGACGATCTGAGCGGAAGCCACGAAGCACTGCACTTTTTTAGCCCGGGAAGATTCAAGACTAGTCGAAATGCAACATCGGAAAAATCTTACTATTGGAACCGTAGAGGGATGACTTTCGTTTTGCATCCACCGGTAGAATTCCATTGTGACGATAGGACGGATGCCTAGTCCGTTTTCTGTAGAAATGTGGTGGAGTTGGTGAAGTAGTCGGATGGAACGGGGGTCCTGAGAAGTGACTATGTAAAAAATGACAGCAAAATAAGGATGACAACGTAAAAGCAACTGAACAAAGCTCTCAGGCAAAATTCGGATTTGTGTTATTCACTAAAGCTCCAAGCAAACCAAGCTAACCTCCTTGGAACGTACCATACTCGGCACGATCCTGCTTCCCTGTTTCGCTGATATCCGTGCCAGCATCCTTGATGTGCTTTCGGCGTCTCCTACTGTGGAATAACTGAAAGCAATTCGGACTGCGTACCAGAAGAATAATGAGGAAACTAGATGTATACAGTGCCGTAAAAAACTACTGATTGCCACCATCAAGGCCATATATTGACACAGATAAAATGCAACTATGACAGCGATTACAGAAACTAGCATTGCTGAAGAAGCTCTAACACTTGAAGGCAGTGAACACGATGATTGGAGGGTGGGACAGTCAGTGGACATCATTGGTGGACACCTTTCAGCGAGCCGGCGACTGTGGTTGGGAACACCCCAATGCCCTACCGTCAATGACGCTCCATGAAGTCATCGAAACTGCTCAGCCTTCGAGCCATCGGCTCACCGCCCTCAAAGCATAAAACATGGGGCATCCCAATTCGATAGAAACTCTGGAATGCGCCACAAGTACATATGACTTGTGTCCTTAGTAACGCAGTAGCAATTGGATGGCTATGTAACTCAAAACATAACTCGCGGCTTAAACAACCGGAGTGCAGATCGGAGTGTTCCCCCTCCCTTCTCTCAGACGAATCATTTACAATAACCCCAATGGAATTAAATGGTGTGCAATTCGCATCTTCCTACATTTGATGCCTATTTTCAAGCTTTGTCAAATAAGATGACCATTAAAAGCAAAAAAAATAAATAAATAAATAAACAAAGGATGAGTGTGTCGCAAAACAAACCGAAGCGATATTGAGCGACTGAACACTTCCATGTGATACCCGCCGGCTACGCTTCGGATCCTTGTCAGCATCGACCTGAGAAAAATATAATGAGATAGAGTGAGGCAAAACTTGTCTCCTAAAGTCGGACCTTATCATCATCTTCTTCGTCTTCGAAGCTGCTGCCACTGGAATCTTCGGAAGAGCTCGAGCTTGAGCTGGACGAGCTACTGCTCTCATTGAGATCCTGTTCATGTTCTGCTGCAGTCTGCAACTCTATCGAATAGATATTTGGAAACGTGCCATAAAGGTTGTGCACACGAAGTGGGCGAAATAAATAGACGATTCTAGTGTAAATCAAAGATTAGAATGAAGGTCGAAGAAAGGGAAACTGACCTAGTTGAGGGACCCACGGACCTCCTGAGGGTGCGAACTGACGCGCAATTCGCATGGAAAAATTTGACCTCGGCGACCTATCATGCCTCAAAGCTGGCGGGTCTGGCGATCTCCGCCCACCGATCATCTGATCACTCGCCGTAGTTCAATACGTGGCGAGTGATTAGATAGCTGAGAGAGCGTAGTGTTGAGAGGGCACAGCGATGAGAGTCGCATCAATGCTCAAATCAACGGGCAAGGAAGGGGTCCCATTTCTCGGGTTCTGGGCCGTTTCTCATGGTTCTTCCTTCTTTCGTGTACCACTCACCATCCCTAGGTTAATTTGAAATGGGTTGCTTTTTCATCGTGAATTCGTCCTTTAATCAAAGCGGGGAGAATACTCAATAACCAATTATTTTCACCACGAATCCACTATCCTATCACGATTCTAGTTTTGACTAAATGAAGGGTTTCAGGAAAGGAGCTTAGGAAAAAAGACCTGCCGAAGCTAAATGGTAACAAATAATGCGAGCAAGACTGGAAGAAATTCGCACCAATACAGTCGTGACTTCATCAAACCCTAGTACCCGTAGTTAGCGAAGTGTAACCCAAGCCGATGAATAAAAGACTTCCTGTCGATACAAAAAACAGATTTGAAACTGTAGATCCACCAACCAAACACTAAAATCCTTCACCTGGGTTGTGCAAGAAGTTCCTCTCGTGTCTTGAACTCCAGCATGAAAATAGAGAATGGAAACAATAATCCGCAGAGCACTTTCAGGTTTGAATGGCTGAAAAGGTAGTTTAAGTGCAGGCTAAAATTTCATTCATACTGTTGTTAATCTGACCTTCGTATCCTCAATCCTCCATGCCATAAATCTGCTAGCAAAATTTGACAGCTGAAAGAGAGCCATACACTCGAGAAGGAAGGATGAGCAAAACTATATAATAAGGTTATGCCGTACCATGGATGTGCAAGGAACTGCTTATTGTTAACCATAACGGCTAGCGAAAGACATGTCTGACAGCCCCAATTCGACAGTTCATAGGTCAGCAGCTGGAACAATCATGAAAAGCTTGTAGCCAAGCGATCATTCCTAAATAAATTACCTGCAGCGTTTGAGCGTCGTCTTGGTGGTAGCAGTGCTCCAGAAGCTCTAACGATAGCGTACGGAATTCCCTGAAAAAAAGCTTGGTAATTCCTATAAAAAATCGATAAAGCCGAAATGAAAAAAAATTACTCAGCATATTTCTTCAGCTCGTCAACAGATTTCTAACCTCAAAGATAGTCTCAGCGCTTCGGTAAGTGCCAGCGCTCTTATGATAGGCGGCACAGCGACAAGAAGCCTTAATCAGCATTGGCAGAACCTCGCGACATTGTGAGAGCGAAAATGAAGGATTAGAAATGATAGTACCTTTGCCAGAGCTTCTTCACCGTGCTGCCAAAGACACATGGCCATTGCCTGACGTTTCGTCAGAACTGCCCATAGGAGTAGTTCACTGAACGGGTATCGGAATTCGAATTCTTTCAGTCGTGAGCCCTCTGAGCCACCCGTATTTGATAGATCTGAGCAATAGAATTCTACTGACGTGAATGAAAGCTATCAATCTTGGAAATAATAGCGAAGGATAGGATGGTTGAAGACAAAGAATCACCTTAGCAAGCAAACTGGGCACCTACCGTATCAAATTCAACTAACAGCAATTCCAGAGAATCGCCAATGTTGCTCGGTCGCATTGCCATTGGATTCTGCAAATGCGATTCTGAAGTGCTTCGATGGACATGTCAAGTAAAACCCAATAATAATAGGATTCTAGAGCTACGATTCGCATCCAGCTGGAAGGGGCATGAGGTCGATGAGCAGCGCTACTTCCTGCGCCAGCTTATCAGGTCAGCGTCATTGAAAGAATTTGCCCAGCAGCCAAGCGGCTTGCTAATCCGTCTGGTTTGGCTAATTAGCTATAGACTTGCTTAAAAGGTTGAAAACAAAGACTGTTTCATCGGCTGGAGCCTGCAAGTCATTGCATAGGTCATGCCGTTTTCAAATGAAATACCATTCTGAAGTGGAAGAGGAACGCGTGGCGCATCCCAAAAAGGGATTGATGAACACTGTGCTTTGTGCTTTGACACCCTTTGGTCTACTTTCAGAAAACCTGAAGTCTACTGAGGCCCTCCTCTAACATGAGATTAAGCATTTAATTCCTTGTCTGCTTATCCAATGAATGAAAACACTATGACTAGAGAAGCTTCCGACATTTGTAGGTCCGTTTGGGAGAAGCGCCGTGCATCAGACCTGTATGCAGGCTTGCAACGGCGTTTGAATACAATATGGTCTGATATGGCCCATATAATGATTTGTGCGGGGGGGGGGAGGCGGGAGGGGGGGGTCGATAGGACTGACTTATTTATACCGTCTGTTCTTTCCTAAACCTTGTTTTCCAATCAAGCGACCGCAGCAATGATCGAGAAACAGAGATCGATAACGGGTTGGGCTACCCCAGGACTGCCCCGCCATCTTGTGGTTTACAGAATTAAATACTTCGTAGAAACAGAACCTTAGCATTGGTACAATGTGGACCGAGCCCTGTAACCCGGTCTTCCATCAAACATGAGAGAGCTGCATGTGAAGATCAAAAAAATGGCTACAAATTGATAGGAAACGTAGTCGCGACAGTATCACCGGGTTCTATTCAGTAACCAGAACACACTGAAAGGTGAGAATGGAACAGCAATAGACACATTTCCTTCTTAAATCAGGATTTCTGGCCGCCGCTAGAATACCACTGAAATTAGCCATTACCCTTCACGACCAAAACAGAAACTACAGGAATTTGACGATAGAACATTCCCAAATGAGCACAATTCTGAGGTACAAGAACATATTTCCATTGATGCAATGACAATTCTCAGTGAATCTTCCCCGATAAGTTGAAGTATCTACAAAAAACATACATCTCTTCGAAAAGCCGATCGCCACAGGATATGATTGGAAAGCGCACGGCTACCGCTGACTGCCGCTACACCTTCAGCTATTGGTTCCGCAGGTGGAGGTGGTGCAAATCCACCAAGAAATCCACTTGGCTCTGTTGATTGGCGTGACATGGCACCTGATCCACCACGAGAGCGAGCCGTACTGCCATTACCTGGAGGGACTCCTTTGCCACCGCTTCCTCGTCCCTGAAAAATTTGTGGCCATATAAAAAAAACGACGAGCAGTTGGCTACCATGAATGCTGTGAAAGAAAAAAAAACAAATTCTGATGAAACAAATAAGATATGAAATCTCAACGAACCCTGAATTTCTTCATAAAGGCGCTATATTTCGAACGGAATTCAGTCGTGGTATATGACGATTTGTACGCGTTCCCCATCAACTTCTCAATCACGAGCCCGATATGAGGTAGTCTGAAATACGATCTTGATTGTAGAAAATACTTACTATTGTTAGAGTAGCGCAATGAGTGAAAACTTGCAAAAAGGCCAAGTAAAAAATGAACAAAAAGTTGTAAATGCAATAGTAAATAAAAAATAAACAATAATAATAAAATATTCAATAATAAAAACAAAATAATAATAAAAATATAATAATAATAAAACAAATGAAAAACAAATAACAAGGAGATCGAGCACAGAAAACGCACTTGTATCGATATCCTTGTCGTACCTTCACCACGTCTCTTACGATGTAGTACAGGGTGTTAGGAGGTCCTTTGTCCTGAAATGTGGATTTATGAAACTTGCGGAAAGGAGAGGCAAGATGGAAGCAAGAAATTTCTCGGGAAGACCGAATGCGTGATTCCAGCGATTCTTTTGGAGGGAAGAAATCGCTCCCATAACATATTTTGGGAATAGGAGTGTGATAGGGTATAACACAATTACGTAATTACCGTATTGTAGAGTTCTTCCAGTCGACCAATAGTGAGAAACCGTTGCATATTGACTCCGTTCTCCAGTAAAAGACGGACGAAGTCAACACGGTCGTTGATCAGTGCTTCCATCATAGCTCCATGCAAAGCCGATTGAGGCCATTCCTGGAGCCAGCGTACTTTTATGGAACCGACACTAATCGCCATGAGTGGGAAAAATATTTCGATTGCATGGTGAAAAGGTCAAAGCAATCATAATAAAGGCTGCAAGGTATTGAGTAAAGTAATTTGAAGGTAAGGAAGGGGAGGGGGCATAGCTGCGCTGAAATTTGAGCTTTGTGACTATCCAAATTTCCACACCAAACAAAAGCATTTATCGTTCCATTAGATATGTCCCTGAGTCATCTGAGTCCACTCAGAACTATCATACTCACTGTCTTGAACCGCATTCACAAAGGTAAACTATCGCACGAATCTACTCATGGACAAAGTTGCTGAAGTGGAACTTGGAAAACTTGGTAAGAAACCTCTGGCATTCCTGTCCGTCTTTTAAGTTCGCTCTTCAATGGAAAAATTTCACTGAGTCAACTTTATCCAAAATAGTAAATACCTACCTGTCCAGAGGTGAAAATGTCGGACCTAGCTATATCTACACGACTCCATGCTAAAGCTAGAGCTAGCTGATCGGCCGGAGATAAATTTTGGCCCTGAAGATTGTCCAAAATATACCTCTTCGGCAAAACGTGAAATCCGGAAAAACGTACCTTCAGGAGAGCGCTGAGTATCGCGTGATCGACATCCTGTCCACCTTTCTCGCCGAGTCGGAAAACTGTCATCTGGAAAAGGCGACAGTACTCGAGATCCTATCTACTGGAAAAGACTTAAAGGGTACCAAATGTTTTTGCTGTGTACACATAATCAATTCGGTTACAACTTTATCCGCAGTAGCACCACCGCAGTCAAACACTCGCTGAACCAGTTCTGCTAGTTGAGGGCGGACACCATCTGGGAATGAGCTGAAAGTCGCCGTTAAATGTCCGCATTTCTTCCGCACAAGCAATTTCCGCCAGAAGCGTGAAAAGAAGCAAAAGAAAAAGAATACTTAGAAAGTGAAAAAAAACGATAATGAGAAAACCAAATAACGATTTCTCAAGACAGAAAACACACCCATTCTCTCGAACCGTCTGATGGGCAAAGGCAAGAAGATCAGCCGCTCTACCACTTCCATCACAAACGACCACAGGTACCCGAGGAACGCTGAAGAAACAAACTGAATTACCTATGACGCTGAGCAACAAGTTGAGTCACATCAATGATAATTGGTCGGTGGTTAAAAGGGATTTTTCTCCTAAACCTTAGTAGAAGAAATTGCGAAATTTCTGGTCCAAGTTTTGATGGAAAAATTTGCATCTTCAAATTTCAAGATATACCTTCAAAAAGCCAATGATTAATTGTTAGAGCCCTCGATAATAGCAAATGTAAAATAGCAAAAGGGAATAGATGCACTAATGTAACTGGTTGGAAAACTACGTAGTAGAAGCGTTGGCGTCTCACTTTGTAACGTAATCCAACACCGATCTGATGGTACAACTGCCACCCTCGAGAATCACACAAACAACAGGTACACTCCGTGATCCACCAGAGATCTTCTGCTTCTGCGCTATGTAATTCTCCAGCCGCTTTCGTAAGACCACCTCTGCACCATATCTGAATGGAAACGTTAGGAGGACAAAAAATGGGCAAATAAAAAGGTAACATTTTTCTAAATAGGCTTGAACAAAACCACATCATAACACACGAATTTTTCTATTTATGTTCAGGCCAGAGCGGTAACGCTGTAGTGAAAAGTGGCACTATTTTCACGAGCGCGGTGTGGAGTCAAGTCCTGGGCCGCCCTGCTCAACTTCCAGATGGACACATAAAAGAGAGAAAAATGTTAAATTTCATAAAAAATCACCTGCCAACGCTTCCATTGTCCACCAACAAGAAATACGAATGTCGATTATTCAACGCTGTGAATCGTGTCTTACTGGAGAATGGATAGTACGGCACGCAGACGTCCTGAAAATAATGCAAAAATCCAATTTAAAAATTAATTTTTTTCTATTGATTAAATAGCAACAGCGTGAACATCTCAGCAGAAGTCTTTGCTTTGACACGTGATCTATTCCGATACAGGGGACTTATGGCACACGAGAGAGCAGTAGCCTACGGGGGCATCGTGGTGGCGATACATTTGAAACCATGTGAAAGATGTCTTTTTTGTTAGAAATGGATTGAGCCTAGGGGGAAGGAGAGACTCCTAGGTGTTCCTGAGCTACTTTCATTTCCCCAGAGCTCCTGTCTCCCCTTGAGCTTGGTCGTGGAGGATGTCCCTGTATATTGCGATAGCGCCCGCTACTGTGTTGTCAACGCGTACTGTTGCCTTTCATGACTTCATTTTTGTAAAAAAGGAACTCAAAACAAAGTGAAAGCGTGAAGAAAAAGCGTTTGGCTTGTTCGATCGGTTCGTAGAATGCGCCACAAAATCCATGGATATTCCGAATAGCTATAACGTTCGAATGTTGAACGGCCTAAACAATGATTGCCAAGGTCAGCCAGCATATTAGCTGATGTTGTTAGGGACGAAGAATAAAGCATTCAGCGTTGATCACTCCCTTGTTAAGATGTGCCATGCATTCCTTCCAGAATTCTAGTATCATTTTCAAGGCGATCTGGCCTCATATGCAATTACTTGCTAGGGCCAGCCGATGTACAAGTTACTTTTAGCCTCCCAGACAATTTTGGTATCGATTAACCTACCCTGGAGGGATGGAAGGCTTGAAAAACCAAACCAAAACAACCCAGGGTTCGATCCCGGACTACGCGTATCGTAAGCGGTGTCATCCG